TTTTTTTTCTTTTTTTTTAGTACTCGAGGTGTCTCAAGTTAGTTTTATACAAATTTCAAGATTAATTTTTTTATCGAATTTAATTGAAGAAAGGTCATTTATACTAGAATTAAATAATTTATAAATACTTATTTTTTTATTGATCTCTTTGAAATATTAAATTTTAATCAATAAAATAAGAGTAAGCATCATTGCCAACTAAGCCACAATTCTTTGAGTACACTTGCCGTTAAGAAACGGTTGTATGTTAAGTACCTACTTTACTTCCAACTGTCTTCTTCCAAATGGACAGAATGTAAGAAAGCCACGTCGAAAATCTCACTTCCTTATTTGGGTAATCCCTCTGAATCATACTCTTTTATGAGATAGCAGTTGTTGTCATTATAGCAGTTGTTGTCATTATAGCAGTTGTTGTCATTATAGCAGCCAGCGTTGCAGAGTTAAGGAATGGAGTTCATATTGTATTTGCACAGTTGGACTGACTATTTAATGTTACCTCCCTTTTTTCTCCACTTCCCCCTTATAAATTGGAGGAGGCAGAGGGCTCTGCATGAACACATGCACCACTCAAATTAAGTTAAACAAAATATATTATATACATGATGTTTCTTTCTCAGAAACCTGTTTCTAACCCCTCTTCTTCAGCTACATTAATGCTTTGCATTTTTGTAGTTCTCCTTTCTGAAGGTTGTATTCTGGCTCTGTCAAAGAACACTACATTTCCGGCTATCATTGTGTTTGGAGACTCCATTGTGGATCCAGGGAATAACAATTATATCAGTACAATAATCAAATGTGATTTTGCACCGTATGGAAGAGATTTCCAGGGAGGAAAACCAACCGGAAGGTTTAGTAATGGAAAGGTCCCCTCTGACTTCGCAGGTACACCTTAAATTCCTTTTGTGCATCTAGAATTACCATCGTCAAGGTTTATCTTAAACCCTTTTCAACATAGAAAAGGTTTTTCTCTTTTTATTTTTCTTGTCCCCTGATACATGATGTAATTTTACAGCTGAATTCTATGGCATTAAGGAGCTGTTACCAGCATATCTTGATCCAAATCTAAACCTACAAGACCTCCTCACCGGTGTAAGTTTTGCCTCTGGTGGTGCCGGATATGATCCTCTCACTTCTAAAATAGTGGTATGCATAATATATCTACATTTCTCCCTTTGTTCAATCCTTCTTTACCATTTTGTGTCTAACTCCTTGTTTGTGCTTGTATTTGATCTTCGATCATTAGTCTGTTTTATCATTATCGGATCAACTGGAACTATTCAAGGAATATAAGGAAAAGATAAAGTTAGCAATGGGGGAAGAGCAAACTACCAACTTTCTTTCTAAAGTCCTATTCATAATCTGCACTGGAAGTGATGACATTGCCAATACTTACTTTACTACCCCATTTAGAAGAGCTCATTATGACATTGATTCGTACACTAATTTAACAATCAGTTCAGCCTCACAGTTCTTCCAGGTACGTACAAAGTACAAACACAATAATTGCATAATTCATTAAGAACCCAAATGAGGATTTTTTGCTTATTGTGGGAACATTTTTCAGGAGCTTTATGGGGAAGGAGCGAGGAGAATTGCAATTCTTGGGTTGCCGCCAATTGGGTGTGTACCGTCACAGAGAACGCTCGGAGGAGGTAAACAAAGAGGCTGTGTAGAGGCTGCAAACCGTGCTGCGACACTCTTCAACTCCAAGCTCTCTGCCCAGGTGGATTCTCTCAAGAAAAGTCTTCCAGGCCTTAAGACAGTCTACAATGACATCTACAATCCATTGCTTTCCATCATCCAAAACCCTCAAAAATACGGTACATATAAACTTTGTACATCACCAGAAAAACAACACTATTACAATTAGGCCAAACAGACACTAAATCTTTTGTGTTTGTTGTCTGTGGATTCAGGATTTGAAGAGGCAAACAAAGGTTGCTGTGGCACCGGCAACATAGAAGTGAGCATACTGTGTAATCAACTCAGCAACCACAAAACCTGCAAGGATGCTTCGAAATTCGTATTCTGGGACAGCTACCATCCCACAGAGGCAGCCTACAAGATCCTTTCCTCTGTTATTCTTAATCAACACCTCAATGACCTGCTCTGATTTCAAGAAAAGTTACAACTTTACAATTCTATATGAGCATTCTTTTGGATGTTTTTCCTCTTTAATTGACATAAAAATGTAGGCAAAACTGCCACTAATAATTTTTCTTAACGAGTCCAAACTGAAAATTCCTCTTACCTACTGTATCCTGAAAGAAAAGTTCTTAATCTATGCTATAAAAATTCGTTTGGAAATAGAAAGGTCTTATCCGAACTAAAGATAAGGTTATGACAGATCCGCATGAGAATTTTTTTTTTCAATTAGGTCTAATCAATTGTAAATATTGGGAAACGGCCCTCTTCAATCTCTTATTCCATCTCATCTACTTCAATCTCTGATTCCATCTTATCTATTTGTCACACAAGTTTCATATATATGTCATGCAATTTTCATGTAACATATAAATTGAATTTAAGATATTTAATTTTTTTTATAATTTTTTTAATAATAAATTATATAATATAAAATAATTCTCTCTTTTTCATCTCCTCATTCATCCATCACAATATTTAAATTTAATATATGTAATTTAACTAACAATTTAAATAATTCATTGGTTATCTTCTTTTACTGGAAGTAAGAGGTACTAAGTTCAAGTTGCATGATATGCAGATAAAGTAAAAAAAAAATAAAAAATAATTATCTCCCATTGTACAACCAATATAAAAATTATATATATGTAATCTAAAATAAAACTCTTCATTATTTAAAATACCTCTCACATACTAGTTACTCAGGGCGCTAATTATTCACATATGCACATATTTAACACTGTTTTCGTCACATGTGTTACATGATGACACGAGCAGTCGGGTTCTCGTCGCTAAACGCAGTCGTATACTTGACTTCGAAAGAGCTCGCATGTGCGAGCGAAGAAGCTTCAGGGTCGTCCAGCACGTTTCACACGTATCCAGGCGGGGCCTTCTTATCGTAGGCTTCGGGCGCATAGGCACCACATCGTACGGTACGTACGGCCAGAACTCCGCCTTCATCCCCGTTCGGTGTCTGAGGCGATCCAAGACCTTCTCCGGTTCGACGTATCCGGTCACCGTAAGCCTGCTCTACTTCGGATCAACTTCCACTCCGGTCACTCCTTTCATTCCTTCGACCGATTTTCTCACCTTCCTCTCGCATCCCTCGCAGTCCATTTTCACTTCGATCTCCACCGTCTGCAAGTGCTTCTTCCTCAGCTTGCTGTGACCGTGAGAAAAAGGCGGACATTCGCAGAGCTCGGCGACATCGCTAAGATGGTTGAAGATTCCCATAGAAGCAGAAGACCGAACTAGGTAACGAGAAATCCATAGATACTGATTTTCCCGATAATACAAAACGCAGCTACTCTTCACCGTCTGAAATTATACCCATTTGAAATGTGGATATGTTTGACTGACACGTGTACTTATGTACACGTGGAAGGTCAAGAGAGACCCAGAATTTTCCACTTCCTGGATTTTAGTGAAGAGAAAAACAGAATTCTTTT